CCCCGCATAAAGCTGGTTCTACATTAGTCGCATCGCAGCATCGCAAGCGTTGCGGTCCAATTAACGTCAATCTAGCTCGACTCTGATTGGACTCCAACGCTTGCGACACGCTTGCGACGCTGCGATGCGATTAATGTAGAACCAGCTTAAGGCTTCTTTATGCGGGGTCTACAATAGAAGTCGTAGCAATCGTAGGGTTTTAAGTCGTAGAAAATTGACCAATCACAGTCGAATATGAGAAGAATAATCAACTATGGGTGCGTTCAGCAGAACGTTTGTTTTGCAACTGTTGTAAGTTTCCTTCGCGCTAATTGGATCATACTTTTAGATCTAGAAGAATGGTCCTATCTCAGCAGCAATCATAAAACGGTTGCAAAACTGTTGAGTCTGCTGAACGCAGCCTATGATTGATCAATTTTCTACCACTTAAGACCGTTATGACTTCTATTGTAGACCCCGCATAAATGGGAATCGTAAGGTCGCAAACAAATCGACCAATCACAATCAAAATTACGATCTCGCGTTTAAAAACGCTCGACTGTGATTGGTCGATTTACTTGCGATCTTACGACTAAAATTTTTGTACGTGTGATGGCCTTAAGTATAAGGTGTGACTATAAATATGGGCATAAGGGTAATTGGTAAAGGAGAAGAAGTTTGAGGCGTGTGTGCAGCGTGTGTTTGACTTAACCTTAAATTCCGTTCTAGTGTCTGGTAAATGTTCTTTTGAATCAGTTCTAATCTGGAATGCGGAAAATATGTCGAGGATAGACGAGTCTTTGAAAAAATTGAATGTCGAGAACGACGCGGAATCATACCAACAGGACAATGATAAAGTCAACAAGAAGGTCGAGTTGACGCTGTCACTGGAAGAAAGAGAGTCACTAGATCAGAAAGACTATATCCTATCCGTCTGTGGAACCCAAAGGCAAATTTTATATTTCTTTACAAGTCTATATAAGTTTTTTATCGCTGCACCTATCTTGTTTTCGCCTAAACTTCATATATATATATATATATATTAAAATCAAACATATACCTTTCTCACTTTAAGTGAGATATATATATATATGTTTTATTTCGGCCCTGTTTTCTTTTACTGTGGCTCAACTAGTGCATGTACACTTTTTTTGGAACTTAAAGTGAGAAAGGTATATGTTTGATATTTGTCGAAAGCGAGAAAGAAAGTTTTAGTACAGTTTAGTGCAGGAACAGAAAACAAACCTTTTAAAGGGATCCTAAAGCAGTCTATATTACCGACTAAATCGTAATTTTTGTATAACAAATACTTTTTTCCTCTTTCACAGATTCAAAAATCCTTTTCCAGGATTAAAGTATATACATTAATACGTGTTTGTGAAGTGGAGTTTATGCCGAGATGGACAAAAAATTTTTCTTAAGATTTCAATTTCGAAATTTTTTGTCGTTTTCGGCATAAATTTCACCTCATAAATACGTATTAATGTATATACTTTAATCCTGGAAAAGGATTTTTGAATCTGTGAAAGAGGAAAAAAGTATTTGTTATACAAAAATTATGATTTAGTCATAATTTTAATACAGACGACTTTAGGATCCCCTTGAGTACAGTGTACACTAATTAGTCACAAAAATAAACATTATTTATAGAACATTTAATGTTAAATCTGTGCAAAAGTATAACACATCTGTCCCAAATATGTTTCTATTATTATATGTGATCTAAGAAAATTAGTTGTATTTATTGTATGATCAAAAGTATTCCATTTTTTAAATAAATCTTGTATAAAAGACACAAAACTAATTTATATTCTTTGTAACATATTGTATATGTTAGCACTATTGTATATGTTCTAATTATTTGATTACAGTAAAATATAATCTTTGTTTAATATTTTTATGCATATATGATATTTTCTATAAATATTTTTTTTAATCTAAATTATTTATATTATGCTCAGTAATATATATTTTTAATTACATTTATAACTAATATTTTTGTTTAATGAGTATGTTAAGACCAAAATTTTATTATTGCCAGTTTAGAGCATTTATTTATTGCTTTACACTTAGATATGACATGAAATGATTTCATTATATATTGCCCAAAGTTACATGTATTAATTTTATTTTGTTGTAAACCATTGTTTGTTTGTATAGTGAGTCGGAATTTAGGATTGGAGCAGCTTTGTCAGATCACTCTTGCATAATATATTCTGTCGGCGAATCCTTGAACCGAACGATTATGCTAGATCATAATCGATCACCCATTGTAGGAATTAAGTTCAGTCCTAGTTCTAAAAATATATTGTATATCGCAACTAACGATGGATTAATAACAGCATGTGATTTGCGTGCTAAGGGAAAGGTTGTGGCAGAATTTAAAGGTGACTAAAATCAGCTCTAAAAATTGTAAACATAATTTTTCATCGATAAACATTTTAATTATGTCTTAATTGGTCTTAACATTACAGATAATACAGAAAATGGTAAAATAAAACCTTTAGCTAGCTTTGACCTTAGCTGCGATGAAAGGCTCATAGCTGGTGGGACAGAGCACACGGGTGGAGATGCGTTTATTCTGTTTTGGGACATAAGGCAAAGTAGTTCAAAATTAGGAAATAAAAACAGTCTCCTTGGTGGATATTGGGAATCGCATATGGATGATATAACTTGTCTGACCTTTCATCCTGCCAAGCGGAATGTTTTGGCATCTGGTAGTACAGATGGTTTGATGAATATGTTTGACCTGATACAATCCTCAGAAGATTTGGCCTTAACTTGTTCTTTAAATACCGAATCATCAGTGGTAAGACAATCAATTTAGTTCTGTATAATGTATAAAGAACATCTTTTTAATCAAATAGTTTTTTTTTTAGGACAGACTGGGTTGGTTAACTGATGATTCTTTATGGTGTACGACACATACACAAACGTTACAGTTATGGGAATGTGAAGGTGCTAGTGCATATGCAACATTTGCGCGTAGTGATTTAGCCGTGTCACAGGTATGCATGGTTTTTCTATAATCATATTGTTTATTGATTTTCTTACAGAATAACTAAAGAATTCTATCTACAGAATGATGATCCTGATAATTGTTACTTGGTAAAATTCCATGGCACTAATGCATTTGGACAACCATTCCTGTTGGCGGGTTCCAGCACAGTTAAAGGGTATTAATTTGCAATGAACAATATAAGTGTAACGCGTTATTCAAAACAATAGGATTTTTTTTAGATTGACAATGATGTAACATTTTTATATTTTTTCAGGGAAAATCTAAGATGCTTGAATATTAAGAAGAATCATTTGGAAATATATTACGAAATTGTAGGGAATAAACAAATAGTACGGGACAGCTGGATGCATGAGAAGGTAAATTATAAAAAAATTACTTAAACTTGGATTAATAATTACCTCGTATTCTCGATTCTGTAGAGTGGAAGCTTGGTGACAGTTGGTGAGAAAGGCACTGTCAATATTTGGCGGCAAACTGAATCGTCGATACAGCAAAATTCAAGTCATAAGTTGTTAACTAAAATTGGAACTGGCCATGATTGGCATCACAGAACTAAACCTTATTAAAATAAGTATTTAGGAAAAAAAATTTATTAATACGGAAAAGTGTTTTGCCATAAAGTGATCGTATCACAGTGGAATTGGAACAATGAACGAAGTGTCATAATTGTATATTTCCCTCACATTCTTCTTTATTACAATAACAGTTGTATGTACATTTAT